TCTCATTTGTGTGTGTGTGTGTGTGTGTGTGTGTGTGTGTGTGTGTGTGTGTGTGTGTGTGTGTGTGTGTGTGTGTGTAACAGTCCAATTGACCAACAGAATGTTGCAAGCATGTCTTTGATTTTAACACCACATATAAATGAGATGGAAGGGTTTTGTGCTCTTTTTTTTTTCTTCCTTAAAGCAAATTAAAGCTGGGAATTTAGAGAAGGCCTTGGAATATTCCAAAACTGTGCTCATACACACACACACCCCGGAACAAAGTTCCCTTTGGAGTTCTGTGTACAAAATTGTGTTTGTGAGAGGAGTGTAGAAAAGCAAGAGGTAAAGTGTCTTTAACTTGGTTTAGGAAAGTGAGAATTTATACCTGAACCACACAAGATGACTAATCCAGTTTTTACTTTATTCTCTGTAGACTCCTGAAAATGTAACTAGAATCCTGAAATAGTGAGGCAGGTCTGGTAGGACATTTGTCAGTTTTAATCCCAGATACTGGGCGAATGTTCTATTCTAGCGATCAAAGCCTGAGCAATTTGTTTTTGATGCCAGAATCTGTTATCATAATACAGGCCAAAATTCAAATACTGTACTGTGTTTTGAATGTCAGACCTAAAGCACGTAAATTCAAATTTAAAGAATGTTCATTATTGTGCAGCAAGTAGGGAACTAGCTTGGTGTTGTGCTTGAAGAGTGTATCAAAGGACCCCTGGCATGAGGTTCAGTGTGGAACTGAAGTGGGTAGCTCCACAAAACCTCTGTAAGATTACAAACACAGCGACCCATTTATAGCATTCTAGGGATGTATGGAAGTGAGAGCTGGACCATAAAGAAGGCTGACCACTGAAGAATTGATGCTTTTGAATTGTGGTGCTGGAGGAGACTCTTGAGAGTCCCCTGGACTGCAAAGAGAACAAACCTATCCATTTTGAAGGAAATCAACCCTGAGTGCTCACTGAAAGAACAGATCCTGAATCTGAGGCTCCAATAATTTGGCCATCTCATGAGAACAGAAGACTCCCTGGAAAAGACCCTGATGTTGGGAAAGTGTGAAGGCAAGAGGAGAAGGGGGCGACAGAGGATAAGATGGTTGGACAGGGTCATCAAAGCAACCAACATGAATCTGACCCAACTCCGGGAGGCAGTGGAAGACAGGAGGGCCTGGTATGCTCTGGTCCATGGGGTCACGAAGAATTGGACACGACATAACGACTAAATGACAACTAGGCTTCTTCGACAGTGGGCATGAGGAAGTGATGAACAATGGATTCTAAATCAGCATTCAGCTGCATTTCAACTGGTTGCAGGGAGTTGAACTTGTCTGAACCTCAGCTTCACTCCTGGAAATACAAATACCTCAGCCCTAGGTGTATTTCAAATCCTTCCTTTCGCCCTCAAAGGCCCAGACTAGAAGCTCTCATTCTTTAAGGAGCATGGTGGAGATCTCTATTACAGAAAGTTCCTTGGCTCCACAAGAATACAGTCCACACAGTTCTTTGAGGAAGGGCCTGACATTGGGCAGTTAACGAGTAAACATTGTTTTACGTGGGTCTGGAATCTCACTGGGCTGGGTACCTATGTTTATTGAAAAACACAAAGCTTGTGCAATGTTAATAACCTTTCCGAAGCATAACTCATGCTGGGGTGTAGGTAATATAATCAGGCTACCTAGATGGTTTGACTGTGTATATGACACCCGCCAAGATAACTTCAGGGAAGTAACTTGAGATGGAATGGCGCTGGACATCCACTCTACTAAGTTCATGGAAACTATATTCGCTCACTCTGTGTGGTTGACACCCTCAGAATAGCAAAGGGAGGTGCAATTAAGGTGAAACAGCTGTCAGTAGTTTTGATCAGCTAACACCATGCCTTTTCAGAATTTAGGGAAGTTACTGTATCTTGAATTAAAAGTCCCAGGATCCTCTCGTTCTCCTGAGAGATTCTGGGAAGTGAAGTCAGAACGGGATTTCCTCCCTTCGCACATACCACTCTGTAACCTTTTTCTTCCCAGAAGCACTTCCACAAAAGTAAACAGGTAAGACAGCTTCTCTCAGAATTAGGTATTTTGAATTTTGCAGCGGTGTTTCTCAAGGTTCACTTGAGCGCAGTGGAACCAGGGTGGAGCTGGAAAGGGGAAAGTAATATTTCATTGGTTGTTGTGGGTTTTTCGGGCTCTTTGGCCGTGTTCTGAAGGTTCTTCTTCCTAACGTTTCGCCAGTCTCTGTGGCCGGCATCTTCAGAGGACAGCACAGTGTTTAGATCACCTAAACAGTACCCTTCAATCAAATTAAAAGAATTCTGAAGACAGCTGTATAAATCACTCTTGTGCTATGCAGGTGTTGATGGTGATGAAGGGATTACCAATCAGAGAAACATATGCATTGTCTGTCCTTACAAAATTGAAAAAAAGTAATGTTTACAATTCTTTATATATTGTTCATGTTATGGGTTTTTTTTTTTAAGATATTGAGGAACAGCTCAACAGAGAGAAACACATCATGTTAATTTCTGCTTTTCTAAATCAAAATGTTTGGGGGTTTTTGCTCTTTGAAAGTAGCCTCTTTTTTTCCCTTTCAGATCCCCCGCACCAGCATTAACAGAATAGAAGAACTTTGGAATAAACCCTAGGAAAATAAAGCTAGATATCCTATCCTCAAAGAAATGAATGTACACACTTTTCAGCTGTTTGGGCAGGGTCAATGGGAGGCAAGCAAGGGAACAGTCCTTATTTAGTTGAAGCAATGCCAGGCCCAGATATAGTTTAAAGATCAAGAACCCAAGGAAAATCAAGGGCCCTGAGATTAGCACCCAACTCCATAGGTACATAGGCAGGCTGCCTGCCCACTCAGATAAGATCCATTGTACTGTAATTCTATTTCAATTATAAAAACATTTCTCCTGTTTCAACTCTACATATAAATTAGCAATTGTATGCAAATCATTGTCCTCTTTTTGATGCTGTTACCTTAGAGTAGGCTTGTCCAACCTGCGGCCCGAGTGCCGCATGCAGCCCAGGTCAGCTCATAATGCGGCCCAGTGCAATTTTTTATTTTTAAAGAAATTCCAAAGTTTCAAGTTACACTGCCGGCGCTTGCGGCCGAAATGTGGCCGGGGCATGTCACAAGAGTAGAGGGGGAGAGAGGGAAGGAAAGAAGGAGTGGAAGGGGAGGGGACAGGGGGGCTGCGTGACTGCATTGCACCGTCCCCGTCAATAGGTGGACCCCCTACCGGCCCTATAAAACCACCGGAGTCAAAGCTGGCAGCCTCTGCTGTCTGAGATCGCAGCTGCCGGTAAGCACGCTTGGAGCAGGGCTCCGGAGGACGGCTAGGGCTGCCCCCCCCATGCGGCACAAACCAAATGTATGTGCGACCCAAACCAAATTTTCATCTTCTAATGTGGCCCAGGGAAAGTGAAAGGTTGGACACCCCTGCCTTAGAGCAAAGCCTCACATGCTACTGAATGGTAAGAGTAATTTATGAGAAAGGTGTGATGTCCTTAAAAACCAAAATGAAACAGATCAATGATGCCTGTATTTTCCTACTGCTTCCTACAAGATAGTCTTCAGATTTTAAAAAAAAATAACAGGTAGGCCAATAAAACTCAAGCCTCTTGATGGTGAGAAATTAAGCTTGGCTCATTGTCTGTGTGATGTTTTAATCACATGTATCTTCAGAGTAGGGAAGTTTCTCAACTTAAAAATAATATTTGGTTATACCAACTATCCCACAATCAAAACAACATTCTATTGCTAGCCTCAATCAGAGAGCAGATCCTTTGAATCAATAGCTGAATGACAGGCCGGCACTTACATAGACCCAATTGAGTCAGTGTTGTCCACTGTAGTTGAACACTGGATACTGGCCAAGAATTCCAGAGTGCCTTAATGCATAGATAAAATGATGAAAGCATAAGGATTCTGGAACGGTCATTCTTCATGCCCGTCAAGCCTACTCTGCCCGAAATTTTGTGAATACAAATGCATTTCTATTAAGGGATGGCAAACAGGGGAGCGATTGGACCAGAATCTGAAGATTGCGTAATCTTCTGATCACACCAAAAAAGTGAAAGGGGTGTTGAAAAGGAGGCAGCATCTCTTTCTGTTCCTTGCATTTTATTTCAGTTCATTGTTCTGCCAGAAAACCAGGGGGCTGAATGTTTCCAAAGAGGGTGGCAGATGCCATCTTTTACAGAGATATCTCCTCTGTTTGACTTAAAGAATGAGTAGGTGGATATAAGAGATGGAGGCGTTGTGCAGCCACTCTGGGCAGCAGCCTACCTAGGAACACAGGTCACTTGCTCACTATCTTTCCCACTGATGTGAAATGTACCTTAGGTAAAGGTAAAGGTTCCCCTTGACAATTTTGTACTGTCGTGTCCAAATCTAGGCAGTGGTGCTCATCTCCATTTCCAACCCAGAGCAAGCATTTGTCCACAGACAATTCTCCGTGGTCACATGGCCAGCATGACTAGACACGTAACGCCCTTTACCTTCCCACCGAGGTGGTACCTATTTATCTACTTGCATTTTTGTATGCTCTCGAACTGCTAGGTTGGCTGGAGCTGGGACAAGCGACAGAGGCTCACTCCATTGCGTGGATTCGATCTTACAACTGCAGGTCTTCTGACCTTGCATCACAGAGGCTTTAGCGGTTTAACCCGCAGCGCCACGTCCCTTGAAATGTACCTTAGTCCTATTTAAATTGTAGAACTGCTAGGTACTCTGTGGTTTAGGTATCTGGCTGTAGAGTGAGCGGTCAGAGGTTCAATTCCCCACTGTGCCTCCTTGACAGGAGCTGAACTCAATGATCCACAGGGTCCCTTCCAGCTCTGCAGTTCTAAGATTATTATATAAATGAGCATATCCTACTTATGCTAATTTGTGGTCTTGGAGGGACGGAGATTTGTAAGTAGCATCACTATATCCACAGCCTGTTGTTGTATCTCTAACTGTTTCGCGCCAGAGAATCCTTGTCAGACTCAAATCAAGAACAAAACATGATCCTTTGTTATGAAACCAGATTTATTAAACCTTTTGTACAGGAATTTTACACCTTCATCATGTCCACTGTCAAATATGTACATATTAACAAATGTCCAACATAGTGTTATCAGTTTTCCACCTACCAATATATACAGATTCATAGGCAGGTCTTTAAAAAAAAAATACTGTATCACAGATACAAATATATTAAAGCAATCATGAGAGCTTTTGTGCAATCAAGGTCAAAAAAAATAAAGTTTCACCTCTAATTCGTGATTGTATCAAGTTAGTATTGCCAGCCATAATTCACATTAAACGACTCTTTGACGCATTGGGTTATTATGAGAGAGACACACACGGCGGCCATTTTAAAAAAATAAAATAACCTCAAATGGCAAGACATCACAAGGGACGTTGCGCAGCATGTGAGGCATATGAAGCACTCTCAAGAGTACAGCAGCGCCACCCTTTTGATAGAGATAAGCCTTAAAATGGTCCGAAATTTAAGACCAGGTTGAAACAGGTATAAATGAATTGCATTGAATGAGCTTTCTCCTACAAGGAGTTCTGGGCCATGAGGTTCCAGAAGGTTCCTTAGCATATCCGACAGCTTAGCAGAAATACCCTTCCCAACGTTCTTTGCAACAGCAAGACCCTGCTATCTGAGGGCGATGGGGCACGCCCACCTTCCTGACCAAAGTACTTTTTCAAATGGTATACAAGTGCTTTTTAGAAGAACTGGGGCTTTGATGGTTGTTGTGGGTTTTTCAGAGCCCAAAAAACCCACAACAACCATCAGATCCCGGCTGTGAAAGCCTTCGAGAATACAATAAACTGGGGCTTTCTTTGACACCCAAATTCAGCTTTGTGAGCAAGCCCACAAAATACTTGCCAGCAAGACCTGTTGCCAGCCTATCATACACCTACGTTGATCTGTGGCACATAAACGTATGATCAGAAAGGGGTGTGTGAGAGGAGGAATAGCCACTATCTTCCAATTACCAAGTGCTTCGTTCCGGTAGCCTAGATGAATTCTAAACTCAACAGAGGCAAGTGCTTATTTAATGAACAGCGTTGGGAGACTTTGCCTTATAGCAGTTCCAAAATCTCCTGGCCATGAGATATCATAGGAGCCATTATTCAAGAAAGTAATTTCTTTCCTTTCTCCCCACAACCCCTGCAATCTGGAGCAGTCCTATCCACGAGAAAGAAGTTCATTAGCACATCCAGAAAGCTTATGCTTAATTCAGATGTACAAAGTACCCGGTGTAAATTTGAAACAAGAGAGTTCAACCCAGCCCAGATAGATGTAGGAAAATATAAAAGGGGGGTGGGTGGGGAGAAAATGTCCAGCAGCAGATGACACTGGAACAGCCAAGAGGAACATGTGGGCATTGTTTTGCGATTTATCAAACGGGCTAGCTGTTGATGCAGAAAAAGGAAAACGCTGGCAACATTCTTTTGGCTTAAACCTAAATAGGGCAGCGGGCATGCTGCTGAATCCTGTTTTCCCCAAACAAACAAAAAATACACTACCCTTTCTGAGGCTTTTCAAAAGAGTGATGTCAAGGACTTAAAAGCGCAAAACCCATACAAAGAAAGCCAACCCCATTTCAATGTATGTAACAAGATAGGGCTTATCTTTGCCTCTCCCGTTAAGCAGCCACACCCCGGGGCTGATGTGTTTTGGTATTCAGATACACTATGTGAATGTCCAAGAAATAGCACACCACTCCATGGATGCAAGAGAGCTGGGCATGTCCAGGAAACAAGGTGGTTGGATCACTTGCCAGAGAGGAGCTATATCTAAAAGTCATACTTTGAAAACAGAGCTTGGGGGAAAATTTGAACAGCGATTCCTAGAATACCCCAGTCAGCAAGGTGGACGGCCACCCTCACCGAGGGAATCCTGGCAGCTATCATCCAAACAACTTAAACTTTTCCAAGCTCTGATCAAAAGGTAATGCTCAAAGGTTTAGGCAACGTTCTGCACCAAAGCAAGACAGGAGCTGTAAACCTGCACCTAGAGAGATTTGCTTCTAGCACCGAACAGACCATGCTCCTGCAATATGAATTAAGATGATTGGTCCACCTTGCCCAGCAGGTCTCCAGGGGGAGCGATGTGCTACCCAGGATAATTTGCACCAGGAATAGCAGGGACTGGCTCTCCAACTTTCCATGCGCACACAGTGCCTCCTCCTCTTGTATCTCACTTAAGACGCAAGAAAAAGACACCATCTTTTTCTTGGAAACCTGTGCCTGAAAATGCTTGACTTGAGCTGTGGGACCAGAAGAGACAGAGAAGATTAAGCTATTGAGCACTGGGTCTGTCCTGTTAATTTCTACGCTGCAAATGTCGCATGCCCCACCTACCATTGGTAGAGCTCTGCCTGTCATTCTCCCCCTTCTTACATCACTCACAAGCAGATTCGGTAACCAAAGGCCAGCCCAGGGTCCTGTCACTTTTATGGTGTATGACAGAGACAGGAGAATCCAGCTGGCTCCTTTGAAGCTGGCTCTAACAGCATAAACTGGAGAGCACAACAAGACCACGCGGATCATAATGTACACAACACAGAGCCAAGAAACTCCAAGTTGTTTTGCTGAAGAAAAGGAAATCCATTTAGGTTGTAGTCCTCAGATTGCTTATTCCAGATCAGTTTTTCTGATCTACTGGAGTCCTCAAGTAGGCACCTTCTCTCCCCCCCCCTTTTTTTTTAAAATTACAGTTCAGGTGTTGCAGATTTAAAGAGAAACAGCCAGAGCCATTAGCTCCAGATAGCTGTCCTAGAGCGCTCCCCTGAAGTTTAAGGGGAAATTCCTTGGATTTAAGCAGCCTACAAACTGCAATGTGGAGGTGGGAGTGAGGGTTTGGCAATTCTCCTTGGAGATGGGAGAGACAGATGGGAATCTACTCATGAATTAACCGTGCTTATGATCACTGTCCCTGTCGTAAGCACTGCAGGATTCTGGAACGCTATGCATTCACAACACAGAAAATGAATACCAAACAGAAAAACTTAAAGAATGTGTGCAAGTGTGTAATCTCTTGTCCCAAGGCCAAAAAGTATCAGAGCTAGCAAAAGAAGGAGCTGATGTCGTCATCCTCTCCCAACTTCTCTGGAACCACCTGATCAAAAGCTCTTGTGTCTTGGTCGGGGTATCCACATTCCAAAACCGCATCAAACCAGGGATGGAGCAAAATTTCTGGAGCAGCTAGTCTTTCGGAGGGTTCTCGTCGGAGCAGGCTACGGATGAGGCACCGGGCTTTGGGAGAGACATGGTCGGGGATACAGAACTGTCCGCGTCGGATTTTAGAAAAGAGGGCCGTAGGGTTTGAGTCATGGAAAGGGTAGCGCCCGACAAGGAGAGTGTACAGCATGACGCCTAAGCTCCAAACGTCTGCTGACTTTCCAGAATAAGTCCCTGTGGTGTTTAGGATTTCTGGGCTGACGTAAGCTGGGCAGCCATGCTTGTCCGACAATGCATCATCCTCTCCTTTGATGATATGAGTATCTTCCAAGCTTTCTAGCCTCAGCTGTGTCCTGAGGAAGAGAAGAAGCCAACACATCAGTCACGTGGCCACACAAAGTCTCAGTTCAACAAAAATCATTTTCCGTGGCCAATCCCTCTCCCAAGTCACAGTAACACGAATGAAAGAACAGTCTGTAAGGAAACTGAAAATACTGGTCAAAGGTTTTTCTCTGTGTTACAGAAGCTGCAGGATTCTGCTTCACTGGCAGAGCACATGCCTTGCATGCAGAAGACTGCATGTTCAATCCCCAAATTTTCAAGAGAGAGCAAGGAAAGAACCCTGTCTGAATCCCTGTCACAGTTGACAATACTCGGGTAGATGGACTCAGGGTCTGATTCAATACAAGAAAGCTCCACACACACACACACACACACACACATTACATTTGGGGTTAGATATAGCCACTTTGGGTCCCTTGTTGGGAGAAATGAGGCATATGAGTAAAACTAATATAAGAGCATCACAAAAAGACATACAGGCCCAAATCCTCTTGACTAGTTAAGGCAGTGTAACACAAACAGTGCAAGTTTTGGAGGCAACCTGACTCAAGCAATGAAATGACCACAGATATTATCTGTTGCATACAACACTGGGTGATTCTGTGTGCAACTGATAATGTCTAAGAGTGTCTTCTCAACTAGGGCAAATTTGCCTCCAAGTGTTAGGCCACTTGTGTAGCGACACAAGATGACTTGGGCCACAGATATGTGTAAAAACACCAAAGAGGACGGTGATCCCCTCACAAGCAGTAGTTGTAAAACTCTGGTCCTCCAGATGTTATAGATTTCAACTCACAGGAGCCAGCAGGACCAATGGTCATGGGTTTCAAGATTTAAAGTCTTAAACCTCTGCAAGGCCAAAGGTTGAGATCTACTGCCTTAAAAGATCAAAATATGTATCACAGCATAGAGCTTTTGTGTGGCTGAGGCCCGCTTAATCACTCGCCGACTATAGAGAAGTGACTTGCATTGTAAGTGAGACATCTCATACCACAGATGGAACTTTCGTTATCACCCACTGGATGACAAGTGAAGCACATGGACCTTTAATCAAGACAGCTCACGCACACCAAGATCAGAGTCATCAAGGAACAAGAGATCAAGTGATGTACCTGTGGCCACGGGTTGGCACGTTACCCCCCCCAAAAAAAAAACATGCACTCTTCTCAAATCGATGAGACAGCACTGGGAAATGTTATCCAAAAAGTAACCTTCTCGATCTCTGAACACACACAGCTTGGATCACAATCTCACAAATATATGGGAGGTTTCTTGAACACACTTTCCCTCCCCCCCCCCGCCCCCTGTCCGCCCTGGATCCCATTCACACATGCAGTGGACTGTCAGCCAACAAGCAGGCAGTACCCAAGCCCGCACGCAGGCAGACAAGAAGTGCCTCCCGAGACTTCAGAGAAAGCCCAATTCACAAGGCAGAGATCTTTGGATCGAGGCCAATTCTGTTCCAGTGACGTCAAGCCTTAACTGCTTCGTGGAGTGCAGCCAAAACCCACATCCCTTTTGTTCTTGGAACAGTGTTAACTCTAGTTGAGATACACATTCTTCCACAGATACACACATATACAAACTCTCCTTGGCGGTGGCATGCTTTTTATGCAAACATCCTATTCTGAGAGCTTTACGCTGCTGAGTTGTTATTGCTTTGGTTTGGAGTTGTCGTTGTTTCAAATGCTAGCCCGTTACAGGCTCCCTTGTCGCAGCCTGCTCTGCCTGACACCTTTTTCTCGCTCTGTCAGCTTGTGAAATGCATCGATTGCTCGCTGTCCTCAGGGCGACCTTCCTGTCCTAAAGCTAGAGCAGTCTCCCTCCCCGCCCCCTCCACCTTGCCGCCACCATTTGCTCTGCAAATGGAAAATATGACTCAACCCTCCCCGCCCTCCGACTGGCTGGTGGGGCATCCGAACTGTGCGCTTCTGCTTGGAAGGCTAAGGACTGGTTAACCCTCTGGTTACCACATGCAATGCAAATGAGATCAGCCGTGTGTGCCATGCAAAGTTTCCAAAGGAGCAGCTGGGAGCTGCTATTTCAGCAGCTTATCAAAGGCAGCCAGATAATTACGTCCCTTGAAAGAAAGACAGTTATTGTTTTTAATAGGTCAGCCTGTCCCTTCTGCTATATTAGCCACAGAATGTGCTGGTGGGGAAGGGAAGAGAAGGAGCAGAAGAGGTCCCAATTATGTGACTCTGGGCTCCAGCCTTGCCTCTTTCTGACCCTGTGCAATTCATTTGCACATACATGCCCATCACTAGATTACTGAGCACCTGGGATCTTGGGAGTTGAATACATGAACAGATCCTAAGAAAGCACAGAACTAAGGGCACACTTGGTGGAAAAGGTGCTGTATGAAGTGTGTAGCCATTCCCGTCCCTGGAGCTAATCTGCAGTTCTCACCACTGTTAATTTCAGTGGGGGCTCACCTTGAACATCTTGCCTGTGGAAGAACAGAAGGTTTGTTTTTTAACCATACTGTACCATATTTTTGAGAGAGAAGTGAGAGCTGGACCATAAAGAAGGCTGACCGCTGAAGAATTGATGCTTTTGAATTGTGCTGCTGGAGGAGACTATTGAGGGTCCCCTGGACTGCAAGGAGAGCAAACCTATCCATTCTGAAGAAAAAATCAACCCTGAGTGCTCACTGGAAGGACAGATCCTGAAGCTGAGGCACCAATACTTTGGCCATCTTATGAGAAGAGGAGACTCCCTGGAAAAGACTCTGATGTTGGGAAAGTGTGAAGGCAAGAGGAGAAGGGGACGACAGAGGATGAGATGGTAGGACAAGGTCTTCAAAGCAACCAACATGAATTTGACCCATCTCCGGGAGGCAGTGGAAGACAGGAGGGCCTGGCGTGCTCTGGTCCATGGGGTCACGAAGAGTCGGACATGACTTAACGACTAAAGAACAACAACCACCATATATTTGCACAAGAGATGGGCTCAGTCTGTGGTGTGCCCCACTGGCATACTCATTTTCCGGGGCAAATATCCCATGGTGTCAACTCAGCATCTCTGCCCATTACCTAAGCCCTCTGCTTCTCCCTAGTATTATGATTGTTTTTGGTCTTAAAGAAGGGAACCTGTCCTTATGTGACTGCATCGCCGTATCCATTCTCTTACACACCTTGTTAAGCCCGGCCTTGTCTTCTGCTTAGGGGGAAGCTAGGCGGTACAATTAACATGAGGGAAAAAAACCAGCTCCCTCCATAGAGGGAGAGCTCTAGAAGGAGTGCTCACTTTAAGAGGAAATATTCTAAAACAAAGTGGCCTCAGTCCACATTTGGCAAATCAGCCTCTTTCCTGTTTCATAATCAGTCAATTGTGAGATTGGGGCAGTTTTTGTCGGCATCTCTGATCTCTCAGACAGACAGGATGGAAAGAATTGTGTGTCTGGAGGGACAACTTTGTCAAAGGAGGAAATGTGCATTTGCCACTGTGCAATTTATTACATTAAAAGCAAAAATAAAAAAAATTAAAATAAACCTATTTTATGCACAAGCACATCTTGAAGTTTTTCCATCAGCAGTTCCATATCCTCAGTAAGTGAGACCTATTAGTGAGGAGCTGTACAAATTCATCATTTCTTAAGCCTACACACCTTCTTTTGTTGGGTGAGACCCACACAGCAACCAGCCAAGAATCTTGCTCTAAACTATTATTAGCCAAAACCTGATAGGGAGCCCACAACACAGAGCTGCCCTCTTCAGGCCCTCCTCAGTAATATGCCCCCCCATCACTTCGATTAAGAAGCTTGCAATCAAGGTGGAAAAAGCACACGGCATGGGCTATAGGTGGGATCTGAACCAGGACAGTCATGGGTGAGTGAAATAAAATAAGGAGGTATTTGAACCAACTTGCCTTAGGAAAGAGGCCTCCTTCATCTCTACAAGGATGACCTAACTGCTGGACAGCTCAGTGGGTTTACGTCTCTGGCTGTGGAGCCAGAGGTTGAGAGTTCAATTCCCCCACTGTGCCTCCTTGACAGGAGCTGGACACAATAATCCATAAAGTCCCTTCTGGCTTTGCAATTCTAAGTCTGATTGACTGAGTGACTTGAAACTTCAGCATTCAATGGACTCTCCATTCTGCTTGAAGCCAATGCGCAGGCCCACAAGTAGATCAGAGAATCAAGAATCTCAAGCTGAGAGGAAGTGGCTTGTGGGGCGCAACCCAGAACAATCGAGGCCCACAAAGTCACATTTCCTATCTTATAATAAAACGAAACCACTGCAGGTTCAACGTTACAGGGATTTGTTTATTTATTTCAAACCCAACACACCAGAACTGAAGCTCAAGTCTGCATTGTATGTCCTCCTTATGATCAGCCAGTAACTGTGGCGTCACTTCAAAGTAATACGTGGATTGCAGCACTGGAGTGTGAAATTGTTTCTGCTGATGTCAAAAGCAGAACTCCCACAGAGCTGCATTTTCACACCTATTTGGTGCTGCCCACATGTGACCTAACTACAGTTATCTTCAAGGAGCGGGTTTTGCAAAATCTGACCTAACACTTTGCTATCTTCCTTCTCTGAGCCTCTAATTATACAGACAGACACAGACACACAAACTCAGTTTCTCTAATATTTCATGCCTCTCTCATCTTTAATTGCCCATCCCTACTTCTGCTTGCACACGGACCTGAGCAAGCCACATCACTCCTATGGATGCTCAATCCAGGGAAAAGGCAACTAACAAGTGCTGGCAGTGGGCCATTTCCCACCACTCTTGGATCTAACACAGGTCAGTCAGATACAATTAATTCTGCACACACAGAGATAAAAGCTCTTTGAAGGGCAATGCAGGACCAGTAACAGCCTTCAGGCTGAATACGACCCATATTAGAGTTACGGGTTGCTCCAAATGGCTACTCAAGGTTCCAAAGGAGTCAGCATTATATCAGACACAACTGAAAGCAACCTACCTAATCAAGCATAACTTGATATAATGTGGTTCTTTAAGGCTGGTTTTGGCTTCCTGGCCAATTGCAACCCATAAGTGACGAATGATAGGTGCATACACTTGTTTGCAAAGTTTTAATTGCAGGTCATAAACTCTTTAGGCTCTGTTCCATCGCCATCCTGGCTGCATCCGATACACAGACTTTGCACTGGCTATTATATCTTCTTATCTCTCAACCTCCCATTGCCACACAATCATCATACAAAGCCTACTTCCAAATATAATTATTTCAATATGTGATACTTAAAAAGTACACTAAGCTTTTTGTTTATCCGCCTAACACGTAACACCTATAATCTAAATGAGAATGAAACCATGCAGGACCAGTCAGGCCAGTGTTCCTGTAGCTGAGCTGGTTGATTTATTTGCAGTATTTATTTATTTATTTAACTACCCAAAGGTCTCTGGGCATCTTACAGTAATTTAAATACAGTAAAAAAGATAAAACAATTAAAATACAATTAAAATATATACTCTGAAAGTTGCCATCAGGACCCACAGTTGATATTATTTCAATTAAAAGCCTTCTGGAACAGGAAGTTTTTGACCTGGCACCGAAATGTAAAGCGGTGCCCCCAACTCCCAACCCAGCCAGCCTATCCAGAAGGACACCATCGTTGATGGTGTCGAAAGCCGCTGAGAGGTCCAGGAGTACCAACAGGGTCACATTCCCGCTGTCTCTCTCCCTGCAAAGGTAATTGTACAGGGCGACCAAGGCAGTCTCCGTACCAAAACCCGGCCTGAAACCCAATTGAAATGGATCCAGAAAATCCGTTTCATCCAGCAGCGCCTGGAGTTGCCCGGCCACAACCCGCTCCAACACCTTGCCCAAATAAGGGAGGTTCGCCAGTCGTATTGCCACAAAATAGGCCAGATAATGGGCTCTAAATTGTGTTCAATCAGACTCCCAGTGGGATTTCCTCCACCTGCGCTCCAGCCATCTCCCCTCTCGCTTCATTGCCCGCAGTTCAGATGTATACCAAGGAGCTGTCTGGGCTCTGCGTGCAGGGAGAGTGCGCTTAGGCGCAATCGTGTCAACCGCCCAGGTCATCTCCCTGTTCCATAGGATGACCTGAGCTTCAAAAGGAGCACCAACCATATCAGACAGATAATCCCCCAGAGCATTCAGGAAAAAATCCAGATCCATTAGTCTCCAAGGGCGATCATCTTAATAGATCCCCCACCCTTGCAGAGGGGAGAAGAAGCTAATAGACTAAACTTGACCAGGAAGTGGTCTGACCATGACAATGGGGTCACAACCAGCCCCTCCACATCCAGACTACCATCTTCCAGTCCCATTGAGAAAACCAGGTCCAAGGTATGGCCTTTCTCATGTGTCGGTCTGATGATACATTGAGACAGCCCCATGGTTGTCATGGTGGCTATGAAGTCCTGGGCCACCCCAATCAAGGCAGCCTCGGCATGGATGTTGAGGTCCCCCAGCACCAACAGCCTGGGAATCCTCAACACCAGGTCCGAGATTACCTCCTCCAATTTAGGCAGGGAGACTGTTGGTACTCAGCAGGGTGGGTGGTACACCAACAGAATCCCTAACCTGTCTCGCAAGCTCAACGCACAATACAGGCCCTCAAGACCTTCTCTCAAAGGGATAGGAAGCCTGGTCAAGGAGATAGAACTCCTATAGACTATAGCAACTCCCCCTCCCCGACCCTCCGAGCAACACTGGTGCTGGACCGAGTACCCAGGCGGACACAGCTAGGAGAGGGGAACACCACCCTCCTCTCCCACCCAGGTCTCAATAATGCACACCAGGTCAGCACCCTCATCCAGAATTACATCATGGATGAGGGCAGTCTTATTTTGTACTGACCTGGCATTCATCAACAGCACTGTGTGGCTCGAGGGGTTGCTGATATGGTCACCTGATACCATCTGGTTGAGGGTAGGACTAGAAGAGGGGATAGAAGTAAGGTATCTCTTCTCCTACATGGGCATATTCTACCTCCACTGCCACTCCTTCCCCTACCCAGCACCACCTCAATGGCTGCCCCTTCCAATGCCCTCCCCCCTTCCTGTTCCCTCAGATCCACTGTGGGTCTCTACATCTGATGGCAACTGATAATCACAATAAAAACCCCTTCTAAAGTCCCTTCTTCCCTCCAAGCCAGGTGGCTGATGTTGAGGAGGGGGTGGGGCAGCCAGAGATGACCAGGATCTTCACCTCAATCATGTTTAAGCATTTTGGATTCCAACCTCTGAGGCTCAGCAATTTCTGAGCAACTCCATTATAAATCAGAAGGTGATACTTCATTGCTAGTCCCAATGAGAGTAAACCCACGACTCCAGTTACATAACCACTCAGCTACTCTTCAGCAATTATTCTGTGGCTAGGCTCTAGCTGAGATTAGCTATAAGATACTGGCAGGGCATCTAACTCTCAATGCTATTTGGTTTCAAACTTCCATATCTGTTTGCAAATGTGTCAGCTGAAAACTGATTTCATACCGGACCTGTTTGTAAATGGGCATGAGAGGAAATATATCATCTGCAAGGACTCCATTAGATCTTATTCTATCACTGGCACACTCACTATAAAACCATGATTTGGCATGGAATGCCCAGTTCATAGATTTGTGACAATGCAAAAGGAACACATCATCTTCACATATGATTGAATATGTTCTAAACCTATGCAGGATGGAATGGGCGAAAGCGATCGGCAAGTGTCTTAAAGATCCATCCACTAAGGCTGGAAGTCCATCTGGCTTTTTAATAGCTTCCACAATTTCCCGGGGGTGGGAAGCATAAATAAATAACAGAGATTAATGGAATTCTCTGCAGCCTCTGTGAGTTCCGAAGAGAAAAGCACAATTGAGTTGCTCTACCTGGGAGGGATATGGGACACTGAGCAGGGTTTTAAAAAAGCAGTCTGCAGGGTAACATGGGCGTGTCTGTCTGCCTCTGCAGCTCAAGAAGTCCCACTCTGCCAAGTGCATTCTTGAATGGAGTAGCTCTCTGGATTCAAGCCAGAAGTGGAACAGATGTTTATATAACATAACTAATGTAGCAGAGAAGAGAGAAGCTGGGTTTTGAACCCGGAAATTTCCCACCTTTGGCCAGCCATTAAGATAGCATGCAACCCCACCTGTACCTTGAACCACATTCAGAGTGTAATTCTAGGAGGCTGTTTGTAAGGATTACTGTGACATATGCAAAGTTCAAATACGTCACTTGCTCTGGCATGTGCACAGGGCTATGAGAGATTGGGCAAGGCAGAGCATCTGCAGATAAACACACGCATGCACACCAAAACACCGTGCAAACCTAATTCACACTGGAATGCAGGAAGCTGTCTTACACTGCATCAGACCATTAAACCATTTAGCCCAGTATCGTCAACTCTAATAGCACTGGCCTTCTATGTTTCAGGTAGGATTCTTTTTCAATATTCACTCAGTCTTCTGGCCATATAATGGCCAATTGGCACACCCAGCTTAGCTTCCAAAATCAGGTAATGCATGCAAGTTTATATTTTCCTACTAGCTATTTCTAAATCAGGAGTGAGCAACAATGGCCGTCCAGATATTTTTGGCCAAGAGTCGCATCAACTCTAGCCAGCCTAGTCGATGCTGGAGGTTGACTGGAAATACAATTCAAAAACATCTATCTGAAGGATGGTGTCTCCCCATATGAGCCTTTCCAGTCCTTAAAACCATCAGAGGCGACTATCTTACTTCTATCGCCACTGCAGGTATGTTTGGTGGGAACACGAGAGGGCTTTCTCTGTGGCTGCTCCTAGATCATGGGAAGCTCTCTTCAAAAGGTTAGGTTAGCCCTTCCTAATTATCATCCGTCTCCTAACAGATGAAGACCCATCTCTTCAGGAAGGTTCTTAACTGAGCCTTTACCTGAAATAAGTCTGTTTTAATTATTATTACAGTTAAACCGTTTACTTGTTTAATGTATAATTTATTGTGTTTTTAATTTTATTTTTTTCACACTGAGCTGTGTCGAGTCCCCCTCAATGGGAGAAAGACAGCCTGTAAAGGCAAAGCAAAATGTGCTGCTTATATACTGTCCCCATAGTACTCTCTGGGAGGTTTACAATTTAATTACAAAGGGTATAATTGAGACAAATACTGACATTTAATACACAGTGCTGGTTCACAGCTTTCTCAGCAACAATCGGCTATGAGCCAAACCAGAAAGGAGACAGAACAGATGGTCACTATTAATGGAACTTGGAATAGAGTATAGAGACAGGGGAAGGTTTTTTTGGACTACAAATCCCATAATTCTCCATTCTGGGTATTCTATCTCACAGACTCCCTCATACATACACTCTACAAATCCCATAATTCTCCATTCTGTGTATTCTATCTGACAGACTCCCTCATACATACACGTAAATGTGGCTTCCCTGGAGTAACAGTCTAGCTGGGAAGACTTTGAGGCTCAATGCTGACTTAGTTCCTGATCAGAAAGGACGCTCCCAGCTAGTGGGAGGGCAGCTTCCTTCCTGGCACAGGAATCTAAGGTGGAACTAAACCCATGCTTAGCCCTGAAGTCTTCTCCATATGAGCCACATTTACATGCCTGGAGGGATGGGTCTGTCAGACAGAACACTCAAAAGAGAGAATTATGGGATTTGTAGTTTAAAAAATCCAAAAATCTCACGCACCCCATATTCCCTTGTCATATTTTTAATCCAAATGCAGATCTCCAGGGTTTCAGAGAGATCTTCCCAAAGGACCCTGAACAGAGAGCAACCACAAATTCCCACTCACCTTTCTTCATTAGAAAACACAAACTTCCTGAGTTTAAGATCCCCCAGTACGATAGCCGACTGGTGGCAATGAGCAACGGCTGAAACGATCTGCTTGAAGAGCCGGGCCGCCTCCTGTTCCGGCAGACGCTTGCAGCTCCTCACGTAGGAATGCATATCGCCAAAGTCCTTGTCAAAGAAGACGTAGGCCTTGGTCTCTCCCAGAATCACTTCTACAATCCCAGTGATGTTTCTGTGGGACGGAAGCTGGATGTAAGGCCGGATTTTGTCCTGGTAGTGTCTGAGAGGGAAGACCTGAAAACAGGACCAAGCAGAAAGAAAGAGGGGATCAGAATTAAGGTTTCTATAGCTTACTCTCTCCTCTCTCTGTGGCTATTCATTAAACCCTGGATCTTGGAGACAGTGGCAAAATTATAGCGAACAACAAGTATTAAAGGGTCAAAGAGACAGATGTTTAAAAAGCTTCCAACTTACTGAATGACACCTACTGAAATAAATATTATTTCCTTCTATCCCATGGATTTGATTTCTATACAATGTGCCTCCAACTGGGGGCAATGGAACATAACCTTGGGACGCAAATGTTCTTGGACCGAAAACTCCCAGAAACCTTCAACACTAACGGTGCTAACCAGGATTTCTGACAGTTGTAGTCCAATAACATCTGGTTGGGAAGCATGGGTATACACAGCCACTAAAGGCAAAATATATATTGACAACAACTAGCTAAAACACATGGAAAGAACATCCACATAGAGGGGCAGTCTACCTAAAATATTAGATACTCAGAACAAAAGGAAAGGCCTTCAATGCTCACGTTGTGATCAAAAGCTTCCAAACAACTACTTACAGAAACAGATGTTACTCTAAGCAACCATACCAGTCCCCGTGCACAATTTGGTTACACGTAGTAACCTTAGAACTGCAGGGCTGGAAGGGACCCTACAGACAAAAGCATCTGTCAAGGGAGGCAGAGTAGAGAATTAATTCCCAAGCTCTGGCTCTGCAACCAGATGCCTAAACCGCTGAGCTGTTTGTATTTAAGGCCAGTTCAAATAAATGAGCATCAATTCTAATTCATTCTTTCTTGATCTGCTTAAAATGTCTACCGGGTTCTACATTCAAAACTATTTCAGCAAGGAGAGATCCCGGTACATTCATAGGTACCTAATGCTGTAGCAGCCTCCTCACTGCAGTGCCCTCTAAATGTGCTGAAGTACAGCTCCCATCACTCATCAGCAGTGATGATAGCTGTAGTCCCGCCCTTGAGGTTCCCCAGAGAGAAAGCCATCTCTCCCTGACTGCTACGATAGCAAACACACAGACTCCCCATCCCTGGTGCAGTTATTACCAAGGATTCTATGCCTGTGCACAGATTATGCACATCTCAAGGCGGATATGGCAGCGGAAAGAAGGGGAGAGTGAGGATGACGGGGAGGGGGGAACTATTAAAAGACACTGAAGGATTTTCACCTTCCAGGTTGTCTGCAGTGATTCAGACAAAGGTAATGTTAAGTAAGCAAGCCAGCAGTGATTTCAGTTCCGCGCATGCCAAACCATTTAAGCAAGGAAAGAAGAGGATTAAAGACTCTCATGTTTTATTCACCAATGTTTCGCAAGAGTTACCAGTCATGTTCCCCCAATGACCTGCAAGGCTCAGCTAGGTTACTCACATCCTACGGCTGACTGGAAGCCACACCATTTAACCCAGCAACACTCCCTACAGAGGAAAACACTCTGCATGTTACACTCATCCCCTCCTCTGTCTCACCGGCTCTGTTGGCAGTCTGTCTTCTTTAATGCCTCTCTTTAAAGCAACACTGCTCTGCAAACAGCAGTCTGTCCATGTCCCCGGTCCTTTAGAAACTTCTCTAGCTCATTTTCAAGTGGGTACTCTTATTGGTCCCATGGCAGCCTCCAAAATTAAAAAGTCTTGTGACATCATACCCTCTAGGAAGTTTTCTTAATGTTTGTCCCTCCTTAGGGTAAGGGAAGATTAGTTGTCAGCAAACGAGAGGCTGTTTGAAAGCCTGAACTTAACTTCATAGCCCTGTCTCCCAAGGACCACAGTTGGAAAGTCTGACAGGGATTTGCTCTAAGCAGCCAGTAAACATAGCAAAGGAATTACCAAACTGGACACACAACAAGCCAATCCTCTCATTATCAATCCTCTCATTATCAAGGGGCTGGAAAACTGGACTTCACAGGATGTTTGGGACTACCATGTCCATAATCCCCAGGAAGCCTTGCCAATGGCTGCAGGTTGGAGTATAGAAAACCTGGAGGACAGATTGCCGACCCATCAGAAACTAAACAAGTGTAACTGAAACACACAGATCCTGCATCCTAGCTCACTTTTCAACTGCTCCTCTTGAAAATTTTTGAGCATGCCAGTCTGCTCTAGGAAAACAGCAGAGTCCTGTGACACCTTAAAGGCAAACAGATTTATTTTAGCCCGGCCTTTGGTGGATTACATTCCACTTCCACCAGGTCTACAGAATACAATTTTGAGTCTTCAAGTATCTGAGCACATTCTAGGAGAGGGAAACAAAGCAACAGTCCTTTTCCATGTGCAGCTTTGCTCTGGTCCCACATCTCCTGCTATGCACACACATGACTGATGACCAGGTATTGCATTCTATGCCTCTGATGAAGTGGGCTCTAATGCACCAAACCACGGGCGATGCTAAACCTGCAAGTTTTGAGGGTGGCACAAGACTCTTTGTTGCTTCCCCCGGAAAGGAAAGGATCTGGGTAATTTAAAAGCTTCCACCGATTTTAAAGAACTGCATTTTGGCGTGTTTTTTCCCCCCAGGGGCTTGCCCAATGATCCAAGTTTCAGAAATATGTCAAGAGAAAGTCAGCAGGTGGCAGCACTCCACCCCGGTCTTTTCCCACTCCTTGGGAGGCGAGGAGAAGAGGGAGGATGCGGGTGCGGATGTGTGTGTGTGCTGAAGACCCCCTCATGGAAACCTCGGAAAGCTGCGGGAGTCGCAGCCAACGTTTGCGTGCTTTGCCTTTACTCTTCTGCCGAAGGGGAGCGCAAAGCAGTAGCAGCGGAGGAACGGGAACGTGTCACCCGGGAACGTCTCCAGAGGAATTTTCAAAGCAAACAGAAAAAAAAAGGCAAAGCCCAGAAAATCCAACCCCCGTTTCTTCCAGGGGCTCCCCTTCTCCTCTGCCATTTCTGCCCACTCAGCATCACCGCAACAACCTAATAAGACGCGCCGACCCACCACCCGGCGTGTTTCCTTCCCTGCTGTTTTCTAGCAACTAACCTGCTCGGCACGCAAGAGCCGCGATCCCAAACCGAAATAAGCTTCTTCCCTCGGAAGCCCGATCTTCCCACGTGTTTACGCGGAAGGAAGCCCCGATGGAGTTCAACGGGGCTTCCCCCCCAAGTAAGCGCATGGAAAAAATTTTTTTTTTGCAGACTCTTGCATTTAAGAATCAAAAAGTGGGGGAGCTTTCAGACGACACGGCGGCCAGAGTTCCTTTCCGACGAGCTCTTTTGCTTCCGAATCTCTCCCTCCTCCTCCTCCTCCAGCACCAATGCCCCCCCGCCCCGAAGGGCTCCGATCCATGCGCTAGTTAAGCCGCAAAGCGAGCGCGCACAGCCCTGACGCTCAGGGCCATCCGATTCGGCTGCCGCTTAGAAATCCGGGACATTCCGGGTCGCCCGTTCCCACGCGCTTTTACACCAGGCAGTGGAAGTTCCTGGGAAGTTTGACGAAACGGAGCTTCCTTCCCGAGTGCAAGCGGGGAGCGCTCTGCGGCGGTCCCGTGCTCTGCCGAGGCGCAATGCGGGCGCCGCCTGCAGTTCCAGCCTCGCCGGCTTAAATGAGCCCGGGATCGCAGAGAGGCACCGGGCGCTCCCCCCCCCTTCCCGTCCCGTCCCGTCCCTCTCGGCGCTTACCTTGCAGCGCAGCTCCCGGCCGGTGTTGATGTCGAGCGCCCGGGACACGTTCTCCCGGTCGGGCAAAGGCAACAAGAGGTAGCCGGCGCGGGCGCCGCCTGCAGTTCCAGCCTCGCCGGCTTAAATGAGCCCGGGATCGCAGAGAGGCACCGGGCGCTCCCCCCCCCTTCCCGTCCCGTCCCGTCCCTCTCGGCGCTTACCTTGCAGCGCAGCTCCCGGCCGGTGTTGATGTCGAGCGCCCGGGACACGTTCTCCCGGTCGGGCAAAGGCAACAAGAGGTAGCCGGCGATGAGACAGGGGGCCGGGTCGGTGCCGGCGCC